AACCGTTCAAGCATCCGGTCTCCAACTTTGACACACGAACAACGCCGGAGTCTACCACAATCTTTATGCTAGTAAAGATTATAGTAGTATAATATATAAAGATTAAAATTTGGGATAATAATAATCTTGTATATTTCTATAGAAGATATTTCCAATAATATTTAGAAAATGTTATAGATATTTTCTATACACAAAATGATATTAATGGAACATAAAAGAAATTTTCTCTCACAAGAAAATTATGACCGAACAACACCATAAAAATTGAAATCATCATGAAAGGCTAATGGTGTGGTGTTTTAAATAAAAACAAAGATGCTCCATTATTTTTGTCATTAGCTAAATGACAAAATTAATTAGTCCACAAATTATCAATCAAGCAAATTAAAACCAATTTGTCAACCTTTAAGATGATATGGCCGAAAGTTTGATTGTAAAAAGTGAGAAGGATTCTTGAAATTTTTCTCCACTTAAATGTTCAAAGTGTATTTTATTTGACACCAAAAATTAATATAAAATTAATTTTAAATCAAATAAAATACCCATATCATTTTTAAACAAGTACTAAATATACTTCAAATAGTTTATGTCAAAATAACTATTTTCATAATTAAAATGACATACCAAAATAAAATATTCAATATATAATATATTTATATATATATTTCGGCTTTATCATATATATATTAAATATATATATATATAAACCGTATATATAATATATATTATACTCCAAAATATTTTATTTTACTAATTTTAAAATATACAAATTACTTATTATCCCATTGTTTAATCCTACTCCTTAAATTGTCCAAAGTGTGTGACCCGTATAGGCACTTATAAAGCTGGCCACAGTATTGGCTCTGCACCAATACTATAAGCAATAAGCGGTATCTAGCAACACATTATTGCCCCCAGATTATAAGTTAAGACGGATTGCACCGTCAAAACCTTTCCATGACTCAGACTCCGTGTAACTGTATCCCTTTGTCTCAATGTCTAAACTTAATG